TATGTCAGCATGTTAGATTCCCCGCTAATTGGTGGATTGCCAACTAATCTAAATCTAGACGTCCTGTGTCTAACTATGTAGGATTATTAAATATTGTGACCATACGGTTGTTTAATGTTAGCATAGATACCAAGGTTAAGTAGTTAACCAACTGATCGGCCCATTTCTAAAATAGTATTTTATACCTTGTCTCAACTTAATTTGGGCTGTCACAATCTCTCTGATAGGCACCTCCCAAATCACTGCTGAAAACTGGTAGATAGGAATCAAACCTTTTTACCACTGGCAAATATGTTGACACCCTAGCTGCAGATGAAGCACACTTTTCGAAAGAATACATTCTGATTTCTGAATTATTCCTTGGTTCTGATCAGATGCATCTCATCTTACCTCGTCACAGAACTAAAACTACACTACCTCAAAAAAAAAAACTACACTACCTTGAGACCGACCGGACAACAAGGCTTCATGAGACAGCTCATGCAATGAACAATTCCACGCATTATTGGTATCGTCTTTTTGTACACTTGTGGCAAATGCTTTGTTTTATTCATCAATGGATTTACCAAACTCGATAGCAAGATATTTGAAGACGGGTACATGGATTGATTGGGTATATGGTAGAAGGGTACAAGGATTGTTTGCGTACATGGTAAAAGATGTGTATATGGATATTTTGGCCATTATTTCCAAATTTCTTGGAACGAGGTGGATGAACCTAGACTTAGACACAACTGGTACATCATGGGAGAAACTAAATCCAATCGGAACAGTCCCTTGTAGATGAACTAAGTATTCAATTCAACTCTTTAATGCCAGAGTACAACTATGACTAGCTAGTTAGAGAACTTAATCAGGCTTCAAATGTACACTAGTACCAAATAATGGAGGATTTCCATGTTTTCCAAATCTAATTACCATGTGAGAAATCGTCAGTTTCTTGAATTGACTACTGCATGCATGTTTCAAATATTTCCTTTTTCTCCATTATTGAACTGTCCCTGATACGTGTAGGCTTGGTGCATATCCTCACAAGGGGCACCAATTATTTGGGCATTCCCATTGTGATGGAACTGAGAGAATGTGAGGAAGATTGAGGGCCTGCTTGGTTGCGCGCCACGCTATTGTGGCGGAGGAAAAGCTCGCCGCACCCGTGGCAAAAAAAAGCTGACGCAAATGAACTGCTATTTCTGTGGCGAGCCTCACCTTACGCGGAAAGCAAACAGCGGTCGATTCTCCGTGGCGAGCGTATCCGTGGCGTGGCGAACGAAGGCCGGGAACCAAACAGCCCCTAACGCTTCCACTACGAAACCCAGGAGCATACACAAGTCGCGCCACGATTCGCACACGTACGCAAGAGCACTACAAACAAACAGTATGGACCAAGTGACAGTGACAGAAGGGATACTTCCAAGAATCCCAGTATAGCATGATTGGACACACTGGGCAGACAACGGTTATGCAATTGGCAAATCTCTTGCAATCAGGCGGTTGCCATCCATCGCCAAAGCGAACAAAGCCACAAGCATGCATCTCAATCAGGGGGACAACGCCCATGTCAGCATTTATCCCCCGGCCTATGGAGCACTTGAACCGATTGCTACTTGGTGCCAACCAAACTTTTGCAGATGCAGCGAATTTTGCCCCCAGTTTGTCACTCTCACGGTGCTCAACTTGGCCTTTGGGATCTTGATTCCTGAGGAGGAAACTTAACTGGAACAAATCCCAAACTAACTTATTGCTTCAGAAATGATTGCAAGAAACATGTTTTTTTAAGTTTTATAAATGGCAGGAGAGGTATGCTATTCAATTAAGCAAGAGAGAGATCTCTACCATTTTAAGGATGTGAACAAAATTTGTTACTTATCAGTTATCACCAACAGTGTTCCATTGTTTGACTTCAATTTTTGAACCTAACAACTGTAGAGCTCCTTATGAAACGTGTGCGAATTCAGAAGGTCACCAACAAAAATCTCAGTGATCTATATACCATTCTAATGTAATAATAAAAAAAATACATGGTCAATTCCTTTTCGTAGCTGTGGGTGAACTACTCATCATTGCAATGCAACTCTCAAGTTGTCGGTACGGGCCTGAACCTAGAGTGAAAGCAAAGGGATAAGTCCCATGTTGGCCCAGTCCTCTTGTGGACAACAAGACAAAGCAGATTGGCGACGGGAACCAGAAGCCACGCGTCCTAGCTACTCCTGCCTGTTCCTATTCCATAACAGCTGAAAACTTGGGACTTTTCTCGCTGTCGTTTCACACTTTTCTCACTGTCGTTTCACATCACAATTCTCTGCATTTTTACAAAAGAGATAGGTACACCTGTCGACCCTGGCCGGGCGCCTAACAAGACAAACGAATATATGTGGCTTAGTTGACCATCCAAAGTAAAAAAAGCAGCCACAAGTTGTTTTCAAAAGCGAGAGTGCATGCATGCATGATTTCCTACCAAAACAAAAAAGGTAAAATGTCTAGTTCTCTAGATCCCCTTCAGCTGCGGCTCGTCCGTTCTATGCACATGCAGTGAAAAATCTGCACTGAAAAATCCGGCCACTAACTGATTCAGAACAATAATTCTTGCACACACACACACAAAAAGAAAAAGGATCCAATTCTGCTGCATCGTCTCGTTTTCGTTACAATCATGGATAGAATGCACCGCGGAATTTATGCATGCATGTTACCAATGCCAGAGAACCAGTATCAGATGGCACTCACTTTCAGAAAAGAGACAAAAGGTGGAATGCGATAGCAACCAGCAGAGTTCAGAACGAGCTTCTCACGTTCAGAAATCTTATTCTCCATACCAGCCAGAGTACTACTAGAATATAGATTAAACCCTGGCGCATCTCCACATTATTGGAAAGAGACAAGAATTTAGTGCGTTAATGCTTCTTTTGGTAGCAAACAAATCGTCGAAGCTCTCGTCCGAGAGAGGCCACATAGGGCAAGGATGTCACTGGGTTGCCCTTGGTCGGCCAACAAGTCTATGACAACATCCTTAGTCGTCAGATCAAACAATGAACAACAATATAGGTTTGAAAGAGATTAGGGAAAGACATTAGACTGGTTTTTGATCGACTCTGTGTGTTGGGTATCTCAATCGCTCATGTCCATTTTATTTGTAAGGAGAGGATGGTCTTACCCTGTGAGGAGTCCAAATCTCTTATAAAACACACCAAAATATAACTTAATCTCGAACTGGATCATAAAACCCAACCTAGCCGGCCTTAAACCCGACCTAGATGGTTTTGGAACCTGACCTAGCATGTTTTCTTAGAAAACAGATGATCAGCCTTATTTCGACAATTTTGGTTGTCAACACGTAGCAGCACTAAAGAACATATGGAATCAACCAAGGCGCATTTCAATGGAAGCATATAGTTCTTGATTGTAGGCTTTATTTATTGTACCAAAAAAGAAGAGGCCTTGTAGGCTTTTACTACCATTTTCATTGGGCTTCCAAAAAAGTACTATTGGGCCTCGTTTCACGGGGAAGTACTATTGGATCCTAACCTTTGTAATACCATCCAAATCACATCCTAACCGATTTTGGCGGTATTTAATCTTACGTGGCACCATGTCAGACCTAGGGAAAAAAGTGGATTGCTGTAGTTTAGAGGGTGGATAGACTTGACCTACGCTATTTTTTATGAAAACACGTACTATGCATCAATAAAGAGGAAATTATTTCTTTGGCCCTAAAAAAGTGCTGTTTAGTTTCTTGATCATTTTTCTCTTGAATTTGCTTACTTGGTCCTAAAACGAATTTCGTTTGGTTTCTTAGCCCTTCCTTTTGTTTGATGGGCTAACAATGTTAAGCTGTACGTGAAATTACTCTTTTACCCAGCTGTAGGCGATAGTTCAGCAACCTAAAATTGCGCCATATCGGTCTTTTAGACTGCCTACTATCAACAATTTTCCAAAATAAGGCACAATATTTTTTCAAGCATGGAATCATTACTTTTTATATATTTGCACATGACAAACATCACACTGACTATATAAAATCAAATGATGTTAGTTTAATATACAATATTCGGATAGAAAAAAATTTAGAATTAGAAACTCTAGCCTGCTCGAGAGGCCGGCGGCCAGGGCAGCGCTTTCTTTGGCCAGGGCCCTGCCTAGTGGTGCCCTGCTCGACCAGCCCCGCCGCTCCCAGCCTAGCGCGGCCGGCGGCCAGCCCCGACACTAGATGTGCCCCCATCCTGTGGCGCCCCCCGAGGTGGATCCGGCACTGGCCGAGGTGGATCCATCGGCGGGTCTGGTGACTCTGCTGCGACCGGTGCGCTTCGACGAAGGGGTAACGCGCTTGCATGGAAGGGGCAAGGCTATTTTAGTGTTTTCGCGCGTGGTCTTGTGCTGGTTCATGGGAGAGATTAACGAAATGAACGGAAGGGCTAAGAAACCAAAGAAAATTCGTTTTAGGGCCAAATAAGCAAATTTGAGAGAGAAAAGAATAAAAAAACTAAGCAGCACTGTTTTAGGACCAAGAAAATAATTTCCTCTTAATAAAACCCCGATATAGGGATACCAATATTTAGCCTCCAACCAAATGACGACAAAAGTGCCTTGGTTGGCAAACTTTTGTCTTGACCAACAAAGACCACAACCCAAACACGCGTCTGATAATGGGATGATTTTTTGAAGGAAAAAGGCTCAAACTTGTAGTCGAACCAATTGGGCCATCGAGGAGTTTCATTGTAGATACAGTCAACCTAAACCCAGTTCAATCCAGACGCTTCGGTCTTGTTAAAAGGACGGCTCGGCCCATAATTATGCCAGCCCGAACGGGAGAACCACCACTTGACATAGCCCAGCGAGGCCCAAGGCCCGGGTCACAGAGCTAGGGTTCCGCGCCTCCCACCCCACTATATAGCCTCCTCTCCACCTGCAGTCGCCGCCTTCCACGCTTCCCCATCTCTCTGTTCCTCGCGCGCCGCCGCCGCCGCCGTGAAGGAAGGAAGAGGAGGAGCAAAGAGCACGACGCGATGGGCCACTCCAACGTCTGGAACTCACACCCTAAGAACTACGGCCCTGGCTCCCGCGTCTGGTAACTATCCCGCGACGCTCCCTTCTTCTCTGTATAATAGGATCTCGGTTCTTGGCGCTTTTCAGATGTGAATGACCTGCTTGCGATAAGTAGACTCCATGGATCTGTTGAGGTTCTGAGTCGTTTTGATGGTTAGCTTAGCCCCCCTCAAGTTTTGGGATTAGGGTCGTATGGCCTTAAATTTTTCGCTGCTGAAAAAAATGATGTTCTGTAGATGCGTCTTGCCGTTATTGCTGCTTATTGGACAGCTGGTGTACATCACAGGCTTAGGGAAATGATTCTTGAAGTAGGTTTCTTGGATTAGCGTGTTGCAACTGAGAGATGATGTGCAACACTCATTACCCCCGTTACCTTGTGAAAAATGTTTGTTTCTTTTAGTTTTGTATCAGTTTGATGTAGGTATTGTAGTTTCAGCTGGTAATGTCTAGCTGCTGGTTATGTCTAGCTGCTGCTTTGACCTGCCGTTTGGTGATCCTATCATGGCAGGCTAGCTGTTTCGATTTTGCATTTATGCCTGAACGTGATAGCTTGTGCAACACAAAAGGATTCCTGCTTTTAAAGGACTGATTTGTTAATAAAGTTTGTAGAATGGACCATTTATACCTATATGCCAAAAGAGTAAATTTTAGAACACAGCAAAATGGCCTTGGTACCAAAAGAGTAAATTTTAGAACACAGCAAAATGGCCTTGGTAACTCTGAACATGTTTTTGTTTTTGCAGCCGGGTCTGTGCGAACCCTCATGGTCTGATCAGGAAGTATGGGCTCATGTGCTGCAGGCAGTGCTTCCGCAGCAACGCCAAGGACATTGGCTTCATCAAGGTATACATGGTTGTGCAGTAGAGTCGTTATTGGGATTAATTTGGCCTGGATCAGTAGAAATTTGATATTAAGTGATAGTCTAGTTGTATTTGTATCTATCTAGTTAAAATTGTTTCAACTGTATGTATGGCTTCAGACGCTGTCCATGTAGAGCTGTCAAGCTAGCTGTTTTTTTACTACATTAGCCTGCCTCTCATATATTTGTTCTTGCACTTGCAGTACCGTTGAAGAATCTACTCTGCTGTTGTGGAGAACATCCTGCATCAAAGAAATGGATCCTTCATTGCAAGGCCTAAATTATGTGCTTTAGCCTTTTGTTCAGAACTTGAGACCGATGTGCTAGTAAACTCTTGTTAAAGTTTTTATGGGTACCATGTGCCTGTTGGACCAGCTATAATCAGAAGATACACATATTGTCACGCGTGATATTTGGTGTTCTTATCCTTGTATTGATGCTTTCATGTGTTATTGTATTATCAGGGCTATGTACTTGTTTGTTGCTTCATGAATGATCCTGCTAAAGATGAATGTAATAACTCCTAGTTTGTTTGTTTCTATATCAGTTTATTTGCTGACAAATATTTGCTGCTCTAGTGGATGATATTGTGATGTGCAGCTTAGGTGGAATTTAGCTGGCATTGCTATTCTAGAATTTCCTTTATGGATTGATTTTATAGCTTCTGAAATTGTTTTATCTTACTATTGTATTGGAGAGCCATGGTTGTATGATTGAACATCTTGTCCAATGGATCAATATAAAGAATTGAAGCTGTGCTCTAAATGTATGCAAGCATATTGTTTGTACAAACCAGCATTGGGTTGAAATGGTAACTGGTTTCTGCCTTTCAATGCTTCTTGGGTATTTGGATTGGCTAGCTGAATCATTTCTGCTGATTGTCACTGACTAGCTGAATTATTATTGCTGATTGGCAATCTGGCAAGCTCTGCTCTCTTTCTGCTGAGGTGAGGTGCAGAGCCTGTATCCTAGATAGAATTGAGATGAGAATATTAACCCAAATAGGCTCTGATATGGTTTTTGAATAATTGTCTGTTCACTTGAACTTATCAGCCTCGCTTATCAGTCATGGTATAGTGTTTTTCTCTCATAACAAATCAGCTTTAGTCGGCTTATCAGCCGCAGAAACCATTAGCCGAACAGGTTTCAATTATGTTTTTCTTTTTGTTCTGAATGGACCAAAAGGGTTGATGCACTGGTTTGTGAAAGGTTGCCATGACTTCTCAAGACTGATGAAACACTTCCAGCAGCTGTGCTGTAAAATTCTTAGTACTCGGTGTTCCTTGTGAGTCACATTATGGGGATAATATTTGGCTCATCATGGGGGGTTCTGCTGTTGTGATGTGATTGTTTACTCAGTCATGAGTATAAAAAATGTAGTGTTTAGAATCGTGGTTGTATTTTGTTGTTGCACAAAGGAAACATTTTGTTGTCAGTATGTTTGGTCTTCTTACACCAAAAATTAGCTTTATTTTATTTTGTTATGGGTGATAATGTTGTGGAATGAGATGAATATAAATGATTTGATGTGATCCTAAACCTCTACTTTAAAAGCTACTTGAATTCTGAGTCTTCGTTGAAGCTGGATATTATATCCTTATAAACACCTGCATGATTCAATTGCCATACATGTCTGTGCTGTCTTGGGTGCATAATTCAGTTGAATATATGCAATTTGGCAAAATGATGTCAATGTTGCTTCTTAATTAATGTCTGCATGATCCAGTTGCTATATGTTTGTATACCTCATTGCTTAATTGTGTCATAGTACTCTTGTGTTCTCATGATATCTGGCATAGCATTATTAGTTCTATTCAACGACACTTCTCTTACTATAGGATTTACGACCTCTTGTCATTTCATAAAAAAGGCCAGTCCCATTTGCCATCAATGCATCTCTGCACCCTGGAATATTCTGCTGATTTAGTATTCTTGTTCCATCTGTGATCAGGTGGAATAGAACTGATTGCTCATGGGTCATTAATGTCCGGATGATCCTTTCAAGGCAGCACCTAACTGAAGGACAGCTTGCTAGGTTTTTTGTGATGCAGGGCTGAAGACGATTATCAACTTGGGCAATTTGCTTAATTGATTGCTTCTGCATTCATAGTTCTATGTCGTGATCCGTTGGTCAAATTGCCAATATGTTTCTGCAGCCCCCTTGTTAATACCAGGATGCTATCCCACAATCCATGTTTGTCATGCTTAATACAAAAAATGGAGCACGTCTGGAGCTGCCCTATTATACATAGTGACTGACTTAATGACTTGATGTTATCTGCTTAGGTACCCTTTGCATTTATCCTGTTGATAATCTTCTGTTATTCTCAAGTGTTTCAATCTTGCACAAGGCTTAGACTTCAGTTGAAAAGCTTCAGCCCTGCAGTAGGCATGTTGCACATCATGAATGTTTCTCACAAGTGAGAAACCACCAGAAAAGATGTTCAGGATTGCAAACTGAGCTGAGTTTGCCATTTTTTAATGAACTTCCAGCACTTATCCTCCATGATCACCTACACTTCCTTTTTTTCTTATTCAGTCCAGCTTCTAGTCTTGTCTTTTGTTAGTCTAGTGGCATATCATGTTGATCATTTAATGGGTGCCTCTTTTCAACTGAAGAATTTATGACACCATGATTCTCTTGGATCCTTTGGGACACAATGAGATAGTGTTGCCTCTTAGTTTAACTCATCAGGCAAATGATTTCATATGTGATCTTTCTAGTATCCAAACAGGAAGATCATGAGGGATGGGGTTGTGGTGCATCAGGCATAAACTATTGTCGCTTAGTTGTCATTCTACTCTTATTAAGATTAGCATGGAACTCGAGTCAAATTTTTATATCTGAAAATATTCCCCAATAGTGTGGCATAAATGTACCCTTACCTGTACTGTGTTTTCAGACATAACCAGCAGCACTTGCCACAGAGCTTAGGAGTACTAGAGTATAGAATTGAAGGTTCTGTCAGCAGAATGGAAGGAAATTGTGCATCCATTTGGAGCGAGGAATCTGAGATGATTGCTCACCTGCAGTCCATGTTCTGGAGCAGCAGCAATGCTGATTCCTGCCTTTCTTCTCCTGACAGCAACACTAGTTCTTGTGTTGAACCTAGCACATTGCCTACTACCTTCCTTCCACTTGATGAAAATGACTGCTGCGATAAAGAGCAAGTGCAATGTCAGAACACTGGTGCTGTTTGGTGCTTTGATCACCAGAGTCAGGTCTTTGCTCCAATTTTTAGTGAAGTTACAAGTAACAAGAGGGCGTGTCTTATGGATGAGAATAAGAAGAGTAAGAATTCTAAGAAACCCCGAACCATTGCCCTGGTAAGTGAAGTTTGATTTTGTACTCCGACTTTTATGACATTATGTGTTGTCGAAAAGAAAAAGGCTGTTCTGACCCTTTGGTGCAATTTTTGTAGGCATCAAGGACAAGTTCAATTGCTCCTGCTGATGAGATTAACACTGAGCTTGTCAATCACAGCTGTTCCTGGAGCTGCAGCTCTGAAGATGATTCAATTGGTGCATGTGAAGAATCTGTTGTTCTGAAACAAAGTACCAGTTCAAGAGGTCGTAGTTGGTCATCAAAGGATTTACAGAGCCTTTACGCAAAGGTCAGAAGTACTCCATGCTAATTTCGCAATGATCACTGAATCTGCAGTTTTTGTTTTCTGATGGCTTGGTCATACTATATAACAGAGGAGAAGAGAGAGGATCAACGAAAGACTAAGGACGCTGCAGCAGCTAATTCCTAATGGCACCAAAGTAAGTTCTTTTCTTTTGTATTTAGTGACCCTCAACTTTTTTTCTGTCAAATTGTGTTTTCAAGGCCCAGCAATTTGCGCAAACTTTTGTGTGAACGCTTTAGATAAGTTGTTCTCTTGCATTTGCAGGTTGACATGAGCACTATGCTGGACGAAGCAGTTCAGTATGTCAAGTTCCTGCAGCTGCAAATAAAGGTAGTATTTTTGTGTCCGAGTTAAGTCAGATCAACATTGGAAGAAACTTTAGTTCACAATTCTAGTTCTCCATCATGTGCAGCATCAACCTGTACAGAGCATTGTTACAGATTAGGTTTGGGAGAACAGAGCATTGTATACACTGGTTTTAAAAATACTAATTCCATGTGCAGGAGCATGCCTCTCATTTACCCGCCCTTTTTTCTGTAACAGCTCCTGAGCTCTGAAGATACATGGATGTACGCACCTCTTGCCTATAACCACATGAGCATGGACCTCAGTCCAAATGTTGCTGTGAACCAATCATGACCGTCCAAAAAGAATTGTCTGAACTGATCAGATGGGAGCTAGAGCTGGGGTTGCTGCGAAGCAGAACACATTACATGGTCCATCTGTTCTTAAATCTGTAATTAACCCTGACTTTACATTCTTCAGTTGCTTCTTGCAAGTATGAGCAACAATTCTTTTGAAATAAAAATTGGATCACAACCTACAGATTCATCCTTTGATTTGTGGTGGGAAAGATCAAGCAATGCTACTGCTGGGCTAACAAAGAAAGGCTTCAACTCTCTAGTGATCGTAGGAGCCTGGTCCTTATGGAATCATCGTAATAGTTGTGTTTTTGATGGGCCTGCTCCAAACTTAGCTGGTACTTTGGGTTTTGCTTTGGAGGAGTGTCGGCTGTGGGCTTTGGCTGGGGCTCAGGGGCTGTCTTTCTTGGCACCCCCACCCCCACCCCTCCCCCCCTGTGATTCTGTAACCTAAGTTTTTTTTCAAGTTTCTGGTCGCCTCTTTGTTCTCACAGGCGCGTGTGTAAGTAATTGAGATTGGTGTGGTGTGTGTTGTACGGGGTTTCTTCTCTCTTTTTTTCTTCTTAATATAATGAAGTGCAGTTCTCCTGCGTTTTTGAGAAAAAATAAAAATTGGACCATCGGTTCTGTTGTCATATGAGATATCTACAGTCTACGATGATGAGATCATGTGCCCTCTACTCTTAAAACGCCGAAGCTGAAAGTGGTGAAATTCATTTAGTTACCTGTGCCTATCCCTGGAAGCTTGCATAATCCCTTCTGGGCACTCTCAAAATCTTTGGTAATTGCAAACGTGTGGGTCAGGGGAGATTGGGATTCATTATGGAAATTGAAAATTTTCTAGGGTGCATTTTTTTTTATCATGGATCAAACTTTAAAAAAAATATTCTCCTGTATAAGAAGAGCAACTGAACGATGATATACGTGATAGGTTAGGGGTAGCACCAATTAAAGAAAAGCTTGTCCAACACCGGTTGAGATGGTTTGGACATATTCAACGGAAACCTCCAGAGGCATCGGTGCGTAGTGGAATCCTAAGCCAGGATAGTAACATGAAGAGAGGCAGAGGAAGACCGAAGTTGACTTGGGTAGAGGCAATAAAAGAAGACTTGAAAGGATGGAATATACCCAAAGACTTAGCCTTAGATACGAGTGCTTGGAAAACAACTATTCACGTGCCTGAACTTTGATTGTTTCTTGGGTTTCAACTCTAGCCTACCCCAACTTGTTTGAGACTTAAAGACTTTGTTGTTGTTATTGTATAAGAAGAGCAACTGAAACTAGAAAGTGTTAGGAAAGGGACTAGTGCTATCGGCACGATGATAGTGGATCATGACTTGTGACTTGTTTGGGAGCAATGGATCAGCAAAGTTGCACCAATCATTTGCCATTGTGCCATGCATGTTTGTTTGCCACATAGAAGTGGTCTATGTTTGTTTCATGGGTCCCTGCTAGAAAAGACATGGTTTCACTACTTATTTGGGGCACCACTTCTCCTCTTGTAGACTTCTAGCAAGGCCAGTTTTACACAGCTCTTGCAGTGTTACATAGGAGGTTCATGCAGAGTAACTAAAATTGCCAGTTGCAGTATATATTATTTTTATGAAAACAGTAGTAGTAGTATATATTATTGATCTCACAAAGGTAACTGCTTTGTATTATCTAAAGATAACTTCTTTGTTAAGGGACCAAAATCTTATCTAATTGGTGCTGAGCTGTCCAGCGATCACCATGAAACTTTTTTTTCTTTTATATAGTTGAGCAACATTTGGCATGCACTAGACAAGGGTGTACACGGCTATGTGGGTGATGAGTGTTTGCCCACAAAGGGCACATCTGATTGCCTAACGAGTCACTCGTGCCCTTTTGGTGACTTCGATCAGTATTTCACCTTTTGCGCATCTTTTTTCTTAAAAACTGCATATATTTGCTTATTGAAACTGCGAATATCTATTGTATTGTTTTACTTTTGTTGTTTCATAGACTACTACAAGCATTATTTAGACGATTATTATTTTTTAACTCAATGCGCTTGGAACAATTTTCAAGTTTTGGAAGATGAAACTCACCCCTTTTTTCCCTTCGTGAGTTTTGCTACCATGTCATCAAATTTGATTGTGTGGCACCCCATTTGATGAGAATCGAATGAAACTCCTCCAAGACTGACATAAAAGTCCGCTTAGGTAGCATCCCCGTTATAGATAGATTATCACATAGTGAACTCTGTATGGAAATGATAAATATTTTTTAGTGGGTTAAAGAGGCTAATGTTAGTTTCTTACAACTGTAATTTAATATGAGGTTTGTACGGTCAGTAGGTCGGCTTTTTTCAAGGAAACTTACTATTATTAATAATAACATATGTAAACCGACTATAATCACCAATAATAACAATAATTAGAGATCTTTGGCCATTGGACTATGTAAACTGGAAATATACTTGGCCGCCATAACCCTTTGCTTGTTTTTGAATATGTTGTACCTTAATTTGTCTTGGCCGGGCCCATAATTTTTTTGTTTCACCACTGACTAGTTGTAGTAATTGCATATATTTTTATCATGTACTTGCATAAATATGTTGTTCCTGTAATATGTCTGGCAATGCACACCCTATATCTTGAGTAAGAAGAAAGCTTTTTTCCCCCCCAATTTTCTCAAACTGATTAAAGCATTTAGTTTTTTTTCAGAAAAAGAAATTTTATTTCAATCACTGTACGAGTTATGCACCAACTAATCTTTATTACAATTTAGCCTCTGGCTATATAAAAGCATGCTCTAAAAAGGCAACACTAAGAAACGAGGCGTAGTCTAGACAACAACTCTATTAGGCGACAACCATCCATGCTAGGTTGACGATGATATCTAAACTTGCCATCTCTAACATACAACATTGCCCACTTGAACCTTGGTATGTCGCTTTTGTGTCAGAGTATCCTGTTTCATTTGGTTGGTGTGTTTGGTAGTTTAGTTTAAATTTGGTGGTCTTTGGTTTTTTTGAGGAGATATTGGTTTGGTTTGGTTTGAAAAATTTGAAACCAACAATGAACAGTGATACAAAAGCACACGTCTAGTACAATGTAGCCCTAAAAATAACTTGCAAATAAGGGTGTATTCTTTTCTTTTCTTTTCTTTTTTATCGAAGACCACGTTATTTCTGCTCAACCAAATATAGGGCCTGTTTAGTTCCACCCAAAACCCAAAAATTTTTGCGCAGTATCCATCACATCGAATCTTGCGGCACATGCATGGAGTACTAAATGTAGACGAAAAAAAAACTAATTACACAGTTGGGTGAGAAATTACGAGACGAAACTTTCGAACCTAATTAGTCCATAATTAGACACTAATTACCAAATACAAACGAAAGTGCTACAGTACCCAAAACCAAAATTTTTTGCCAACTAAATAGGCCCATAGTAGTCTGCAAAGCTACCAACTGAGGAGAGCTAGTAGGTTCCATGAGCAGTGACGCAAGCATTTTGCGTGCCTTTAGCTCGTTGATTCCAGCAAGGAAACGCGTCACCTTTTTTTTTTTTTTTGACCCTGCCGAGCGAACTTGGAAAGCATCTCGTTATTAAGATGCCAAAGAATGAATCCAAAGAAGAGTCCATGCACGCATGCAACTTATCTCGACAGGAATTCAGGTTCACTGAACCTGCCCACAATTTTTAACCACCAAAAGGCGGCGCGACAGGAGGTAAACTAACAAACTAGAACAGGGCACGATTATATTCCCGTCCTCTCTCAAAATGGCTGTTTTCCGTTTCTAGAGCTTCCCAAAAACGCATCTTTAAGGTTTGTCTGACTCGAAATTGACAAGTACGGCAGTACGCCCTAATAATAAAGGAGTACTCTACGTAATCGCATTATTCCTTCGTGCTGTACAAAATTAATTCATCATCATGTAGTAAGAGTCTCCATAGAGCACAAGAATCTCTGATGGAACGACTTCCGAATTTCAAAATGTACCTACAAGAATTGTTAATTCCAGGACTAGTCCTTTTTTTCTTCAAATGGTACGAAAACTTAACATAAAGATTTTCGGCCGTGTTCGGTAGCACTAAAGTAAGTGCTGTGGCTGCGGCTTTTCACTGCAGGTGTTCTCGGTGCTTCACTGTGCAAACAGCCCCATGTGGGCTGTGGCTTAAATTCAGCTGAAGCACATGCATTTTTTTTTCGCGACACAGAGCTTTCACAAGAAATTTTAACAGACTCGATGTACACAAATCTCTACAAACAAATTGATAGAATCCCAGTAGAACAGCAACACCAGCCCAGGAATTATTCCAACCGATGAAACTTACAAATTTAGCTATTACCTAATATTGCGGCCAGAAGTTTTTCCAGGTGGGCATTTCAGATGAAACGAACGAGGCCCAACAAATTAAACGCCGTGTTTCCAAACTGTAGCTTGAAGCAAGCAAGCCATTATTATCGTGTTCTGACACGGTGACATAAAACTTCACAGAAGGTGATGTTTGCATGTGAGAATTTTTTTAACATTTTTTTTGTAAACTAATTTTAAATCTAACACTGTTTTATTTTTTTTCAAAACTAACACTTTTGCCCGCTCCTATTTTCTTGGCGCGACGAAACCGTGCCGCGCCATGCATGGTGGCGCGGCGAGAGGGATGACGTGGCGACGACTGGGGAATTGACCGGTGACATGGCAGGGTCTGCCGCGCCACCGATCTTGGCGCGGCGGTGACGCGCCCTGATCGGTGGCGTGGTAGTCCCAGGTAAATATCGCTCGCGAGCCGCGGCCTCCCTCTGTATGCCTTAACGCGATGGACGACTTCCGCGCCGCGCCTCCCGCCACTCCCAAGTGCTGTTGGCGCTCGGCCCTCGGTTGGCTAGCATATATATCTTGCATGTTTTTATGTATTTTAAAATAGTAGTGTGTAATTTATGTTATTAGCATTAGATCAATATAAAATAACAATAATGTTATCACTTTACTCCAGCGTTCTTCTTTCATGAGTCACGTTTGGCATGCAACCCTAAGCCCGTGTTTCCGAATTCACTTACGCGTCAAATGTACGGCAAGACTGAGAATTGTTAAGCCTCAATTGCAATTAGCTGCCTTTTGGTCTTTGTAAACAACTTCAAGTCTTTGTCGTGACGCATTGAAACGAATATGAAGCAAATAAATGGAGTCCGTACGCAAGTTGATAAGTTGCTACATAACATTCATGAGTCTGCAAGTTTCGGATGACAATATTCGTTCGACATAACCAACTAAGTGGTGTAAGGCTCGGACGCCTCGATTTTTCACTGAGTGTGTTCTCGGTGCTTGGTTACTGGCTCGTACTGCAAGTATATGATATGCACGATTACTTATAATGTTTATGATCGTTAGTTCATGAGCCTATGTATTTAAAGAAACTACCTTTGTTTACCGTGAGGCTCCTTGGGTACCATCACTGAAGCACATGCCGATCCTGCACGCCAAGGGTCCCACCGGTGGTGTTGTATTTTTTCACGTCCTTGATAATGTGGTGCTTTGCACACAATGGAAGAGGCACGTCACCGGCCGAGAGAAAGTCGGCCGGTTTCAAAGACTAGAAAACAAGGAGTGTCCATCGATGTACACAAATCTCTACAAACAAATTGATAGCATATATACTACAAGAAACCCAGTAGAACAGCAAAACCAGCCTCAGGAATTATTCTAACCGATGAAACTTATACCAAATGGATAAGAAAAATATTAGCTATTAACGTCGCTGCATACATCTTCGATCACCTTAATATTCCGGCGATAAGTTTTTCCAGGTCACACGCCAATCCTTGGGCATTTCAGATGAAACGAACGAGGCACTCCTAACAAATTAAACGCCACGTGGAAGAAAATGTTTCCTCATCCCTAGTGACAAGAAACGGAGCTCCAGAGCATCCTAAGGACACCAATGCACCTGAACATTTCATAATTGAGTTCGGTTATGATATAGTGTACATCGAACAAGACACATGTATAATAGTAAAGAGAAGCGTAAATTGGTGCGTGTCAGGACATCGAGACAAATCCGTGTACTCCACAGACTTGCGCCTCGCATTCCCTCTAACTAAACTGCTTGCATCCAGATATCAGAAATGTAGGCGGTGTATCCCGCCCATTCAATGCTACATGGAATACGATAATGAATTAACCATTAATAATTTCAATTTCATGAATATGTAATCGCCTCAAGAATATAGTGAATCAAGTGATTTTTGCAGTAACGAGAAACTACTTAAGGGAAACCAAAGAATAAGGGTTATCGTGTTCTGACATGGTGACATTACGTCAAGAAACTTCACAGAAGGTGATGTTTGCATGTGACATGCTTGGTTTCCATCACTGTGGGTCCAAGTAATCAAATAGCTTGGATCGATCGTAACTTTTCCTGAAATTCTCTCTCGTCACAAGTATTAAATAGGCTTGAATTGCTCACTTGGCGTGCCACGTTGCCACCACGAAGGCAAAGATACACATCTGTACACCTCCACCGTTATAAAAATCGTCGAGCCCGTGTCTGTGCGTTCGTGTATATATATAGGCGTTCGATCGAGCGCGACGGCCTCAAACCCCGCCACACGTTTCCATCGCGCGCGCCGGCCGGCCACCATGCTCGCGAGGGCTCCTCCGAGTCCGTGCTCCACCGGCGGCGACGCCGTTGCCGGCAGCAAAGAGAGCACGAGGCCGTGGACGCCCGTCGGCGGCGTTGGCCTTGCAAAAGGAGCATCGAGGTGCCCGGGACCTAGAGCCGGAGTCAGGCTAATCGCGGCGAGGGCGCCGGGGAGGAGGGCGACGACGACGGTTGTGGCTGCGGCCACTGGCGAGAGGCGGACGGCGGGGCCGGGGCCGGAGGCGGAGTCGGCAGAGGCAGCTAATGGGTCGTCGTCGGTCGTCGCAGGTACGGTATTGGCGTGTTAATCGATTCGATTAAATTTCCTTTTTTTTTTGCAAAAGAGAGAATCTGTTTCTGATGTTGGGTGGTAGCTAGCAGGAAATGGAAACCCAGATTATGGAATCGATTATTCTGTTCGTCGTTCACTGCAGCAGTATAATAATATAATTTGACTTACGTTGAATAACCGCCAAAATTAAAAAAGGGACAGTCCACATAAGAAGGTCCTATGGCGAGAGGCGGACGGCGGGGCCGGGGCCGGAGGCTCGGCAGAGGCAGCTAATGTCGTCAATCGTCGCAGGTACGGTATTGGCGTTGACGTTTTTTTTTTTTTAAATTCATGTTGGGTTTTAGCTATATACTTAAATATACACTATATCTATAATGACTTATATTAATAACCGCCAATTAAAAAAGGACAGTCCACATAAAAAAGCTCCTCTAAAACTCAAAGCGTTTCAAATTATAAGAATTTAGAATTCATGAAATACTTAAATATACAGTATTTAATCTTACAACAGACATGGAAAACACTTAACCTATGACTGTTCATTTGAACAGCCCTGAATCCCTGATACGTGTCGCATGCATTCGATTGCGATTCCAACAAACAAATCAGAGTAACGGAAATGATTGCAATTTAGCGAGCTGAGACGTTATTGCCACCACTCACGCACTCACCACACACAGTCCTTCCTCTGTTCGTTGCAACCAGGGCTCGGACAGAGTACAGACAGACCACGACCAACAAACACACTGGAAAATTTCAGAAATATCCTGCGACACGTTGTTGCTGAATACATACGTACAAGCTGCAAAATGTGTCCCAAGCCTCGTCTACACAAATCCTTGCTACAGTGGAAAACAGTGTCGATGCAACAAACGAGAAAGTCAACTTCATTGATATGCTTCTTTATTAGTCCACTTATAGTTGGCGACCAAATTATATGTTGGGAGGTACTTCCTTTGTCCCTAAAAATGTCGCTATAGCAAGATTCGTGCTGGTCAAATTTCAAAGTTTAACTAGATTTTATATTAAAATATTAGTGATATTTATGTCTCAAAAAAATTTACGATCCAGCAAGAAAATGCACGCATCGATATCACCTTTTTTTTTTGGGCCGAACGAACTTGAAAAGCATCTGCCTAATAAAGATGCCAAGAATGAATAATCCAATGCTTTTTATTACGAGCAGAGAAGACCCGTCCATGCATGCAACTTATCTCGACAGGAATCCAGGTTCACTGAACCTGCCCACGATTTTTAACCAACGCGCGCGACTGGATGAGCTAAACTAGAACAGGGCACGAGACGATTTCCACTGTCAAATGGCTGTTTCCCGGTTTTAGTGCATTCCAAATCGGAACAAGCACTGCTAAGGTAGTATTTGCAGACAAGTGTTAATTACTAGGTAGTAAAAAAATAATCCAAAGAAGAACTAATACGTGGACTGTTTTTAGATAAGTTTCTACTACTAGTTGTTAGCCAACTAGTTTGCGAAGCTAATTTAGATTAATTTTTAGCTCAACTAGTACTTGAGTTATTTGAAATTGTAGACCAGTAATTCCATTATTGCTTCGTACAAATTTCTTGCAGCAAAAGTGTACTTAATTAGAGCACAATAATTTCTAATGCAACTCAGGAATTTCAGTTTCAAATCGTACGTACAGGAATTGTTGACTCGCAGACTGCACTTGTATAGTCCTTTTTCCCTACCGAATTGCTGTTGTAGAGAGGTCCACTCGAAAGTATACAATTTGAAATGGTACGAGAACTCAACATATATAAAGAAGGATTTTTCTCGCAACACAGAGCTTTGACAAGAAATTTTAACGAAGTCTACAAAGATCAATAAAAAATGAATATCCCAAAAAAACATAAAAAAAACTAATAACAAAATAAACCCCGTGTCCCCAAATTGATCCAAGACGTAGTTCCAGACTTCTAGTTGGACGGCGAGAGCCACCAAACCACGCCACGTTTCCACCGCGCCCGCCCGCCCGCCGGCCACCATGCTCGCGAGGGCTCGTCCACGGCCGTGCTCCACCGCCGGCGACGAGCAGAGCACGAGGACGTGGAGGGCCGTTGTCGGCGCTGGCCTCGCCCGCGGACCACCAAGATCCGCCGCCGGCGTCAGGGTCGTCGCGGCGAGTCAGGGGAGAACGACGACGACGACGGTCGTGGCTGCGGCCGCCGCCGAGAGGCGGACGGCGGGGACGGGGCCCGAGGCGGCGACGGCAGAGGCAGCCGTCGCAGGTACGGTATTGGTGGCAATCGATTCCATTTTTTTTTTTTCAAGAGAATCTGTTTCTTCAGTAGGTGGTCGCAGGAAATGGAAACCCAGATTATCGAATCGTTTATTCCGCAGGGAGTACAAAATAATATGACTCGTCTTATTAATCGCCAATTAAAAACGAAAGTGCACGTAAAGAAGCTTCTCTCTCCTGTACTTTTGCAATGCTGTGTCTTGTAATGTGAATACTGAAACCATCGAGGTTATAAATATTTCCTACAGTTTTAGTGAAAACATTTTCAAGAGTTCTCCATTCCAGCAAGAAAAGATGAAAACTAATGGCCTCAAAATTGGTTGGTTGATTGATTCACGCAGCACGCGACACAGCCGTACTGTAGTTGAAACAGATTTTCAGTCATCTTCAGGGATACCCGGCTGACCCATGCGGAACACATGGCCAGTACAGCCCAGAATCACTGACGATGACTGGAAAATCAAGCAAACCAGAGTATCCCTGAAGATGACAGCGATATGAGCTGTTATTTCCACCACTCACTCACCACACCACGCTGTCCTCTGTTCGCTGAAACCAGGGCTGGTACAGTACAGAGTACAGACAAACACACCAAGAGCAGCACATCTTAAAGTTTCAAAAAAAAAAATCCTGTACTTCTGGGGATCTGTTGCTGAATACATACGATACAAGTTGCGAATTGTGTCCCAAGTCACTACACAATGATTTAGCTCTGCATGAAACAGTAATTAGCATGACTGAAACACATAAATCAGTTAGGATTCAACGAAGGCTCTGCAAAGCAGAGTTTTGGTGTCAATGGGCAAGGGGATGAAGTGCGATGCAAGTCGCTGTCTAGGTAGTAGATCTAACATAATACTCGTCATTGTAGTCCAATACGACTGAAAAGGACTGCTCGGTTCGTGATCACTGTAGGCGTTCATCTCGAAATGACAGCATGTTCAGAGCATTCTCCAGCCTGATTACTGAATGGGACCTCATGCCAGATTCAGCTGAAGATGCTCCTGAATTCAGGACAGGTTGATTATGCTGTCAGTTCTGCTCCAATAGCCCAATGCGTAATTAACCGTTACATTAATGCGTATAATATATACGACCATTGGTAGGATCTCCTCAGTCCTGTGATCTATTGTACGTTTACCAAAGAATGAGAAAGTTGGTTGCGAAATTATTGGTTGGGCGGTAGTACTGAGTTGTCATGTGTCAGGTTCCCTTAATAAATTTGCAGTAACCATATGACTCATCCATCACTACTTTATTTTGCGCAAATTAAGATTTGTCAATTTTCGTCAAGGCTGAAAGTGGCATCTTTTTTTTTTCCTAGAATGGAGCACAGATTGTTAGTGAACTTCTGTTTTACTAGCTTGGGTTAGTACCCTACTTTTGATGAAAATGTTAGCGAAGACTAGGAATCACCAGCATTGCAAAAGTTTACCGGGGACATTAATTCAGTAAACCTTACTGTTTAGGATGCAGCATCCCAGGTATGTTAAGGCTGCGTTCGGCTGGCTGGCTGCGTTCGGCTGGGCTGGCCAGCGCACTCACAGATGCACTGTTTACGTGCGTAGTGTTTCCAGACAGAACAATATTTTTCTCTCACAACAATCAGTCGGAACAGTATTTTGGTTTATTTTTCAGTCCTGCCGAACAGCCTGCGGATGGCATAACGGACTTGCTCATCCTCAAACCAAAAGTGGTACTCATAACGGCACCGCCGTACGGTAGGTGAAGCAGATTTTTCAGTCATGTTCAGACATACCGGATGACCCATGCATGCGGAACACATGACCTGTTATAGTATAAGATTTGTACAGCCCTGAATCCCTGATACTACGCATTGCATTCGATTGCGATTGCAACAAACAAACAAACCAGAGTATCACACTGAATGTACAGGACGAAAATGATTCCAATTTATTTGTAGAGTCCTTGTGACGCTGACAGTGAGCTGAGCTGTGATTGCCACCACTCACTCACCACCACACCCTGTCCTCTGTTCCAAGAAAACAGGGCAGGCCTGGTACAGAGTACAGACACACCATGAGCAGCACGACGCAGCTGAAAATTTCAGAAAAATCCTGTAGTTCTGGGGACAAGTTGTCTTAATACACTTTGCAGAATGTGTCCAAGTCTCTACACAAGGACTTGATCTGCATGTATTTACTAAGGATGAAACGCAGAAATCAGTTTAGGAACCAAGGAAGGCTCTGCAATACATAGTTTCGGTGTCAGTGGGCAAAGGGTATCAACTGCCGATGCAAGTCGCTGTCTAGGCAGTAGTTCTATATCATAATACTCATCATCATAGTCCTTATACCTTCGATCTCAATCGCTTTCGGTGTCGTACAAGACTGAAAATAACTTCACGATTCAGTTCAGGCTAATTTGCCATTTTCTTAGCTGTGTTTCTCTCTTTTATGTGAACTGTTTTAGGATAGCAAAGGGGTGGCGATCGGTTTCAGAGTACTCATCCATTTAATAGATTCGGTTGGGCAGTAATACTGAGTTGTCATATGTCAGGTCCACTTAATAAATTGCAAATGGCTGCATGACTCATCCATCACTACTTTATTTAGGCAAATTAAGATTTCCCAGTTTTCTCATGGTTGGTCCATAAAAAAAAACACATTTTTTTTCTAGAATGGAGCACTGTTTTTTTTGGGCGCAAAGGATGGAGAACTGATTTTTACTGAACTTGTTTTTTAATAGCTTTGTTTAGTACCCTAATTTTGATGGAAATGTTAGTGAAGGTTAGGAATCAGCATGATTGCAAAAGTTTACTAGGAACAATACACCTGACTATTTACGATGAGTATGTTAAGCATGACATAATTGACTTGCTTATCCGGAAAGCACTAGTTGTAATTATATATCAATATTTTCTTCATACTATGTTCAACATTTTGATTTTTTTTAAAAAAATGTTCAACATTCTGAGAGTTTCATGGGTTTGACAGGGATCAGCACGCTCTTGACTTCGACTGTTGGGAAATCGACAAATATCCTGTGGCATGACTGTCCCATTGGGCAGAATGAGAGACAAAATTTGCTGAACCAGAAGGGTTCTGTTGTGTGGATCACTGGTCTAAGCGGTTCAGGTCACCATTTGCTCATCACACCCTATCTACATGTTTACAAACTGAATTTGCTGAGCCTCTGACGTTTTAGAAGATCCTTACATCTATCACAGGAAAAAGCACGCTCGCATGTGCGCTGAGCCGTGAGTTGCACATTAGAGGCCATCTGACATACGTCCTCGACGGCGATAATCTCAGGCATGGGTTAAACCGGGACCTCAGCTTCAAAGCAGAGGACCGTGCTGAAAACATACGCAGAGTAGGTACGTTCTGTCCTGAAATCTTTCTGCACTTGATCATCATTTCCCTCGCAACTGAGCTTTACTACTGATTACTGTTTGTGTTGTTCTTTTCAGGGGAAGTAGCAAAGCTATTTGCAGATGCTGGCCTGATCTGCATTGTTAGCTTGATATCACCTTACAGAAGTGATCGAAGCGCTTGTCGTAGTTTACTGCCAAAGTCTTCGTTTATAGAGGTATGAATGATCCGCTTCCGGTGTTCCATGTCGACAAGTCAAGTTGGAGATTTCTGCCTTCTTCCATATGGTATCTATTGTAGTTTCAGATTTTCAGTAAGAGAGATATATATAGCTCAGAGAAGCACATTTTGTTTGTTAGGTGTTCCTAAATGCGCCGCTTGAAGTATGCGAAGCACGGGATCCCAAAGGCTTGTACAAGCTTGCACGTGATGGCAAAATCAAAGGTAATAATTAAAGGAACCAACAGATGTTATTGTCTATTTACTAGCAGAGCTTACCAATAACCAAGGGAAATCACCTACAGGTTTTACTGGCATTGATGATCCTTATGAACCACCATCTGATTGTGAGGTTAGCAGAAATCATCTACTACCAGAATTTATTCGGTGTCTCTGTACATTAAAAAGAAGTTAGTACTGTCAGCTACACTAAAGAATTGAAGTTTCCCAGTTCAAGGATAATATAATGACTTTTCAGTCCTCTAGGCTAATGAAAGATGAACAACTCGATCTTTGCAGATAGTGATCCAGTGTAAAGTTGGGGACTGCCCTTCACCCAAATCAATGGCTGATCAAGTTGTGTCATATCTTGAAACAAATGGTTTCCTCCATGACTAGACATGGATGTATATGCAACGCAGCACTTCTTGTATATAGCAGCAATTGGGGTGGCATTGCCAAGGTTACCCATCTGAGTACCCAACGAATGCTAATGATTTATCTGGTTTCTTAAGTCAGATCGATAATTTGGTTCATCAGTTGTCGAGAACTTGTTTGTACTGGTCATAGATTGCACTCATGTGTACAGGGTGATGTGTAGCTGATTGCTACTTGTGATGCTATGCAAAGTGTGGACTTTGAAGGATGATTTGTTCAGACACTGCTAGCAGTGTAATATGATCGTTGCATCGTTGCTCTTTAACACGAAACAAGAAATGGCTGTGTCAAAGAATGAGTGCAGCCTGACAGAGTTGCTTAACCGTCCATGCATGACAAAATTTGTTGTTGGTGTTCTTTCATATGGGACCAATATTTTCTTTGGTTTTTAACTTTCCATGATCTCCATGAAAATAATTTCAGCAAACAAGCTATATCTAACTTTATCGACACTTAAGTACGTATGAACCTTCCGAAAGGCAGATTTCAAAAAATCTATATATAACAATGACCAATCATGACCTATATTATCTTTATTATTAGATGTTGCCGGAGTAGAAACTATTTCCATGCAGCTCCCAATAACGTTCACCTTGTATTATATCATGGTGCCTAGCTACTTTCTTTTAGAAAGGAAAAACATGATACCTACTTTTTATTAAGTGCATTGTACTTTATATTTAGCTTATTTTCTCCTATACGTACTACTGGCTACCTTCATATACTATTATAGTGCCCGTGCTAATGCCACGGCTTCATTTCAGGGGTGCACATGAAAACAACCAAGTAATTAAAGAATATTTTGACCAAGTATACAAAAAATTGTTTACTCACAGTCACAGTAGAAATCAATGGTATAAGCAACATACAACAATCATATAAACAGTTGAAATCAATGGTATAAGCAAGATACAACAGTATAGTTTAAAGAGGTTAAACATGCAAAAACTTGCTTATATTTAGGACAAAACTTAATACCTAATGATGTTTGCTGGTATAGAGGTAGCTCTATACTTTACACCCATTATCGACTCAAGCCAATTGTTTGCGCGCTCTGAAATTGAACCATCCAAGTTTTGAACGCCACATGTCATCCTAGCTTTGTTTCCTACATAAAATACACCACTGATTCATGTCACCAGCTTTTGCTAATCAGAAAAAGGACATCTTAGATTTTGAATCCAATGCAGTTGGGGTAAAATCAGAAAACAGAGTAAGCATTATAAAGTGAACAAGCCTTATTCAGACAAGGTACCCAAAAAAATCTATGCAGCCATACCAAGAATATATTAAATTATTTATTATAATCTATATGAAAAAAACAGGCTGTATGCAAACTATTTGAATCAGGCTCCTAGCTTGAATAATCAGAATCTCCTAAACTGGTGCACTTGACCCGGTGCATAAGAATTACATCTCTGAACTGAAAAAAGACCGACTCTGAACCGAAAACAGAGCAGGAGTGTAAAAACAGCAATGTAAACTCCACTAAGCCTTATTTTGATTTTGAATCTGTGAACTGCATGCTTATAGGATCATCTGAGCTTGGCAGAACTTTATAGGATTTTCGGAGTTGGTAACTGCATGTTTATATCAATGTTCCAGTTTTGGGATAGTGTTGGTTTCTTTTTCCATCCATGCACTATGCATAATACCTCTTTTCCATACAAATTCCAAGTTCATTGCACCCTTCAAAACCTGACTTATGGTCTCTACGTTCATCATGACTTGAGCACCCTTCAAAACTTGAAAGGTTGCAATGAAAATAACTAATTAAATAAGCCATGAAACTGAATTGAAAAGTGCTCCTTGTTCCCCCCAAAAAAAAAGAATTGAAACTGCCCTGAAAAAAAACTTACAATTGATTAGATGGCTAATATATAGCGCACCCTATAAAACATCTATTGCTCCCCCCCCTCGCTATGTAGTGAGAGGGAATGCTCCTCTCATACATTCTATAAAACATCCATGTTTACAACATTCCAAAAATGGACATCCTAAAAAAGAGGAATGTATTTTCCAGACCAATCTAATTGTAAACCTTGGAAATGAAATTTAAAGAGATACATATACATATACTACGTAATAAGGAGCAGATTATGTAATTCATCCAACTGATGACTCATGATTTTGTACAAGTTTTGACCTGTCTAGTGTGCGAACGGATAGGCAGGTTTTGAATAGACCATGATGATTGTCATGGAAGTGCAGGAACCAAGTGGCAGGATGAATTCTGTGTCAGCCATTTTATCCTGTTGCACATTGAGGCATTTTTCTTAGCAGGTAGCAGCCAACAAAGGTACCTACATTTCAGCATAAGTATAAGATCACTGCAAAAATGTTGCTTGAGTGGCCTAACCTGTCATAAAGAGGATTTTGTCCTGGCATCCAGGCAGCACATATCCACAGCAAGCGCTTGCAAAACATATTTTGAACGGTGAAGCTCTGCTCCTCCTAGAAACCTTCCTTCACTTCATCCCCATATCCAACTCTACCAACTGTTCATTAGCCACCATCTACATACACTGCTATCTGTTAGGTTGATCTCCTCCCGACTCGGTCCAATGACCGAGTCGGGGCCTTGATCCGTGCCTTGATCGGGGGCGCCCAACTGAGCCATGGTTGGTGGGTCCCTGTCGCATAGCGCCATATAAAAGGAGGTGGGGGGCCGAGGCACTGGGTACGAGGTTCACTGCCGCCAGCAACCCCACCCACAACCCTAACCGATCCAGGGAGGCACTGCCAGCGACGGGAAGCCCCACTACCTAGCCACCACTGGGACGCCACCGCCCAGCACTGTGCTCAACCCTCTTCACCGACCTCACCACCGGCACCGTCGCCCTGGCGAGCTCCTCCGCCATGTCCACCGATGGTAAGCCACTTCAATCCTCTCTCCCTCTCTCTCTAGTTCATGGTCTTGGTCATCTTATTCCGATTAGAAATGTTCTCGCCCGCTAGATCTATTCCTAGTGATCCTAAGATTGTAACAATGGTATTAGTTGAGCCTATTTTAGGTGTAGATCTAGATTTTGGGGTAGAAAAATGAAAAGAAATCAGAAGGAGATGAAAGATTGTGATTTTTTCCCAAACCCTAACCCTAACCCTAGTACAGAGATCGGAGAGGGGAGGGACCTACCCGGGTTTTCCCTCACCGCCGGTGATACCGCCATCGCACGAGAAGTAGCAACGCCGTCGCGTAGGCAGAACGGACGCCCGGCGAGCGGGCTCAGAGCAATGCCGCAAGACCGCTTGACGGCGGCACGCTCACCCTCGAGTGAACACGTGCGCTGGCGAGGGGCCTATGGCAGCGCTGCAACTCTTTCCTTTGGCCTCGGGCCACCTCACGAGATCCCACTCGCTCCGTGCGGGGTTAGAACAAAAGGGAAGGGGAGCGAGAAAGAAGTAGAGGAAGGGTAGCCAGATCTGCTCCGACGGCGCTTTTCCTTATGTATAGGGGTTTATACTATAAATTACATGAGTTTTGACAAATCTGTGTTTTCAGCAGGGCTTACGCAGAAAACCATCAAGGGGGACCTATTCGTCAAAGAAAATTACGGAATTCCGCCATGTAAACAGCGTGGGAAGATTCTAGAAGACTTCAGGAGGCTCTCCACCGAAGCAAACCCCGATGGGCTGCCATGTGGGGCTGGCTGGACCCACTTGCAAGCTGACCGGCCTGTGGATCCCACCAGTCAGCCTCCGCTTTGAAAGTCGGTTTCTCACCGCCATTGAGATCCAATCTTTGTCGTTTATTCAAGTCGGTTTAATCTAAGGGCTCAGGATTGATGCTCCGGCCTATATATATCTGCTCCTACGCCCTCCCTCAGCAGATCCCTGAAACCCTAATTCATATCTTTAGGACCAGAGCAAGCTATCAAGAGAAGATTAGTCATCCATAGGCTCTAGTCTTGTAAATAATAGTGAGACGGAGAGTGAGAGAAGAGTTTGAAGGAGATGCTAGCCTATCGATGCTCTCTCTATGGCTTATACCTTGGCGGATCCAAGTTCTATCTGAGCTTGCCTCTGAGATTTCTCTGGTAATCAACTTCTAATTCAAGTAAGCTTCTTATTTATATTATTCATCAGGTTCACAACTTGTTTGAGGGCTTTATTCTTTATCCAGAAAGAGTAAAGTAATAATTGTAGTATAAGCATGGTGCTTAGACTCTGATTACTTGTGGATGCATCCTGCACGACGGATCGGTGGTAGCTCGCGAGGGTGACTCTTATAGCCTCGTTGAATCCTCTGTAGTCCACCTCCTGTTTGTAGGGCAATTAGGACGTGGTTACTACGGGAATCATCCTCTGCTGGTGTCTTTCCTTAAGTAATGTCCCCAGTTAAATAGTAGAAGACATAGCTTACCTAAGTCAGAACTAGAGAACATTAGTTTTCCTCTCTACGCTCCTATTTACCTTAACCTTGTTGCTACTAGTTAAGTTAGATCGTAGTTAGTCTCACATGTTTCCCTGTAGATATGATACTTGAAATACTTGGAGGTGAAATCTACAGCGGTATCCATGCGCTTGCGGATTTATCTGTGTGTATTAAATATACCAACAGGCCGCCTTGTCTTTGTGTGTGTGTGGGGCATGGGGGGGGGGAGGCTCCATCCCCGAAGGTCCTTGGCATCATGGCCATGAGCCTCTTCCGTCACCTGATCTCCCCAAAGGTGTGGTTGTCCAACAGCCTTTGGGATCCCGCACCCGAGGCTTTGCCGAAGCCTCTTGGAGCCTTCGCGAACAAACTGACGAGTGTTCCCAACAGCTTTGTTTCCCTAGAACCATTGTCACTTCCAGTAGAAGTTTGAGATTAGTTTGTCAATGAGCCCTTGGGTCAGGGGCTTCGCCCCAACAGAGTTGCCTCTGAAAATAGCAGCCGCCTCTACGGATGCATTTCTAGAGGTGGCTCAGTTCCGACCGATTTGTAGAGGCGGTTATAGGTTGAGTCGCCTCTATGTGAA